AACTCTTGGACCAGAGGTTTTACTGGTAAATTCTAACAAATATTTAAATCCTAGCAAATATTTAAAGGGAAAAAAACACCAATTTCGAATAAGACCTTTCAGAAAACAGAAGAGCAAGGAACGCTTCCCAACTCGTTTCCTGAGGCCCAAATAACCCAGAGTCTAAAACCTGACAAAAAATATAACAGGAAAAGAAAATTGCCCACAATAGTCCTCTTGAATATAGATGTGAAAATCCTCAGCAAACCGTAAGCAAATAACAGAGAAGGGAGCACTCTTCATGGCAAATGGACTCCAACAGTCAATGCACGCTATACTAGTGGGTGGAAATTTGATGACAAGCACACTTACAAAGCCTCAAAGTGACTCCCCTTCTTACATCCAGAGGGGAAAGAAGTCCCTAAAAGCTGGGCAGACACCGCCTCTATCTCCCCAGTCACCAGAGTCAACAAAGGCCAACTTCAGAACAAACTGGAGTCTTGGGCCTCCCGCCAGGACACATGAGAACATGTTACTTCGTGTTTCTTGCCAAACAGAGCCTGAATCCAATCATGAGGAAACATCAGACAAACCCAGACTGGGAGACATCCTACCGAAGAACTGGCCTGTGTCTTCACATGGAAACGTTACAAAACTCAGAGGCTGGGGACCTGCTCCAGATAAAAGGAGACCGAAGAGATGGGACAATTCCATGCACCTAGTGATCCAGGACTGGATCCTGGACGAATGACAACATCTGAACTTGAACTGTGGAGGAGATAGCAGCATTGTACCAGTGCTAGATTTCCTGATTTTGATCAATGTGCTATGGTTGTTTAAGAGAGTATTTCCTTGTCTTTAGGAAATACACACTGAAATATTTAGGACTGAAGGGGCATAATGTCTCTCACTCCCAAATGGCTCCGATAAATACATACACATACATACATGTGTATCTGTGTGTGTGTGTGTGTGTGTGTGCGCGCGCGCGCGCGCGCGTATACGCACGCATAAGGAGGGAGACTCAAATAAATTCTCCTGGAGAAGCTGGATAGAGGGTATGCAAGAGTTCAAGAGTTCATTCCTGAGAATTTTCTACAAGTTGAAAATCAAAACAAAATGAGAAATTATCCACCCCCCCAAATTTTTAAAGAACTCTCCCACTGCCCCCCAAAAAAGAAAAAAGTGGGGGGTCGGAAGGAAAAGAGAAAAGGAGGGAGGGAGGAAGGGCTTCCTGTCTCTGAACCTGCTTTCCTCACTGCACACACTGCCTGGGTCAGCAGCTCACCCGCTAGTCTACGTGGAATCTGCACACAGCAGACATGAGGGGGAAGAGCACTGAGTGGCGGGAAGGTGGCGGGGGGGGGGGCAGGGGGGAGGGCTGCAGGGAAGGGAAATTATCCCAACATGAAAAGGCTTGCGCGCCGAGCTCGGAGGACACAGCTCTCTGACCCGGCTCGAGGCAGACTTGTACAGAGTGGTGGCCACAATAAATGAGCACGCAGGGCTCCCGTATCCAGGGTAACGGGCAACTGAAGAGTGCCCAGTATCTCCAGCCACCCCTCTCCCTCCGCCACACCCACGTGACCTTATTACGACCCGTAGAAAACACTTCCAGAATCATTAAAAGCCGGCCAGCGCGCCGAGTGACAGGAAGCGATATTCTGGTGGCCCCGGGTACGAGTCGCACGGAATGACCATCTTCACAAAGTTACTCGGGGCCAACTGTTCTTTAGAAGACACCACCACAGCCTTCTTTTTAAGGAAATGCGCAAATAAAAATGAGCTTAAGAATAGGAATGACGACAAAAAACGAGGAAGCCTGAATGTGAAAACGTGTTGAGGGAGAAAAATAGGCTTCTGACAATTAGTTATAATCTCAGAATGCTAATGGCCTTCCTGCGAGCAAGAGGAATTCTAATTGGTCTCCGGTGGCCTGTTTATGCTGTCTAGATCTAATTACAGAATGTGGCGCTGCCGGTCTCTACCGATTCATTCATTCAACAACTAACATTTATTTAGTACTGACTCTGGGCCTGGCACTGTGCTGGGTGCCGATGGGAGAAAGCCACCTGTGTTCAGAAGCTCACACTTCTGAAGGAGGAATCAACACCCAGCGCAATTGCTAAATGACAGAAGACAGATGACGCAGCAAGCCTTCTGACTGCACGAAGGAGGGGGTCACGGGCGCCGTCTGCCAGATAGGGAGAGATTTCACAAACCGGAATGCGTGTGCCCGTGAGAAAGCAGGGTGGAAGAAACCAGCCTGTAATTTCCATCGCGTAACTCAATTTACAAATGCCCAGGCCACGTCTCGTTGGCTACCTCTGATTTCCCTAATCAAGTGCGCACCAGGGTCGCCGGCACCAGCATGAGCTGACGGTCGCCTCTAATAGGAGCGAAGGGAAAAAAGTGCAGATGCACATTTTGCCTCCAGAGGCACCCGGGTTCCTCTGGGCGAGACGCAGAGAACCGCACTGTTCTCGGAGCGCGCGCGCGTGCGCGCGCGCGTGTGTGTGTGTGTGTGTGTGTGTGTGTGTTTCCGTGTGGTGGGCCGCGGCCACGTTCACGCCGCGTGTCTGGAAAGAGAGTCCAAAGCACGAGGGTGTTGGAGCAGCACAACTGACTGCTCTTGTGGGTGCTCACAGTGTTCGGGGGTCACTCACGGACCAGCTGAGAGCCCTGCCCTCCTTGGGGAGCTCTGTAAACCACACGTGTGGGCTTCTCCTTGGGGAAGGAAATCTGCTCTCTGCCCATCCTGTCACTTCGGAGCTAAAGAGAACGGGGCCCTCTGTGCGCCTCGACACAGGGTGTCCGAGGGGTGGGCCCTCTCCAGGAACGGCCCCCTCTTGGCCTTCGGGCTCCAGGAAAGGGACACAGAACAGCTTCTGAATCTGACCAAAAAGCATGCATGGGTTGGACAAGACAGCCTGAATCCTGCTTCCAACAGGGCTCCATGGGAAGGGAAGGGGAGCTCCTCCAGAAATACCCTGAAACGTGGGTGCATCCTGGCCTGCAAAGGGTTCAAGACTAAACGTTCTTTGCAGCCACGTCTGGAAGCTTTCACATTCAAGTAATGATATCAGTCACTCACTTAGAATGAAAAACACAATTTATGTAAACTAATTTGTTCTGTAAGTGATTTGTGGAGATAGCTTTTTGAAGGCTTGTTGTATTTTCCAAATATTTTCGCCAGAAGAAAAAAAGGAGGAGGAGGAGGAAGAGGAGGAGGGGAAAAAGAATATTGCTGGCAAGAATGTAGTGGTTGAAAACAAAACCAAATAAAAATCATGCAAAACTGCCTCCAGCATTATTTTTCACGGTATTATCAGGCTGGAGGGATAAGATACTTGGTTGTCGGTCGTAACCTTGGGTACTTGCCTAACCAACCTCCCAACAAAAAAGATCTAGCTGGCAAAGTTCACTGCTCAACTGCCAAATAGTCCAACTAAATGCTATTACCCGAGTTCATTTTGCAAAATAAATTTAATTTCTTATAGGGAAACTTGAAATTTATAAAAGAACCCTGGAGAATTTGAATTTTAATAATCAATTATTCTTCAGCCTGATTCATCTTACAAACATATGGAATATGCAAAAACGTGAATTAGTTTAAAAAGCCAGCCCTGTAACTCACAGTTGAGGAAAACTTCTACATAAATGAAGAAGAATTACCAAACGCTCTCATGCTACAATAGGATTTTCTAGCGCCGTGCTGCTTGTTTCCTCACTTCGAGAAAGAATCCCTTTCTCTCACCTCATTCTTCTTCAACCAAGAAAACAGCCATCTCCTGTATCTTATTGTATTCAGAAATAAGGCCCAGGATTTTTTAAATCTTTACGTGTGGTTTTTCTAAACTGCTAGGATAATTCTGGGGTATTTACTCTTGTAAGAGAAACACGGGGCGGGGGAGGGGGCGTGCCGTGCAGCACCGTCTGCTTGGGTCAGCGGACAGGGGAGCAGCCGCACAAAACAAGATGGCCGCGGGTACCCTTCCCTCGGGCCACAGAGGAGAAGGCACGAGAGTCTTCGAGAGTCTTCGTCTAAGCCCGGGAGTCTCTGTGTGTAAGGCGATACGTGAAAGCTGGTACTGGCTCATTAGCAGCTACTTCATGAGTGAAGGTTCCAGAAGCAAGGAGAAAGTCCACGACTATACAGTCACTTCACAGTGGGTACAGAATCATACAAACCCAGGGATGCCACAAAATTAACTATTTTTTTAAGTTTATTTATTTATTTTTGAGAGAGAAAGAGGAAGCGAGCATGAGTGGGGAAGGAACAGAGAGAGTGGGCAACGGAGAGTCCCAGGCAGGCTCCGCACTGTCAGCACAGAGCCCGACACGGGGCTCGAACTCACGAGCCATGAGATATGACCCAAGCTGGAATCAAGAGTCTGACGCTTAACCCACTGAGCCACCCAGGCGCCCCTAGAATTCAAAGAAGAAAATGGAGTATTTGTCCTAGTCCTCTCACTATACACCTTTCACTGGTGTGAGCACCGATACTTGAATAGGGCATTTCTCAAACTGCTGCACTCTTCAGAGTGGACTCTCATACCCACTGACACACCTACGTCCGGCCTGTCCTCACCTATAAACAGACACACAGGCCGACTGGATTTTTCCTAATTGCCCGAGGACTACCCAAACCATCTCCCACACTACACTGGGCCCCTTGCTTTGGGAAACAAGGCCCATGATCCCAGTGGGTTCAAGGACTGACTGGCCTATAAATCTCTGCATCTCGCCCGGCAGAAGTCTGTATCTTGCCTCAACTCTGCCTAAACTTTGATTTCGACAGCTCTGCTGTCTTGAAACAACTGTCGATCCAAGGATGATTGTTTTCGGAACACGCACGCGTCCGAACTGTGGACCTTCTCCGGCCGAGGCCAAATCGCCCGGCGCCATGTTCGGGCAAGTGCTGGCCAACACTGAACACCTGTCATACTGCCAGTCAGGCTCACCCCGAGCTTGGGACCGTCCACCAGGGTGTGGGGCTGTCGTTCCCTAGACAGACTCACGTTCACGGCTTCTGCTTTATATTCGTCGTCGCTGTCTGGGGCAGAGAGTGCCAGCAGGATCGGACACACTTTGTTTTCAATATCGTGCTGGGAAATTAGATCTTGTTCCAGAAGAATCAAGAGCACTTCCTGACTTGACTTTCTAACCTAGAAGAGGACAAAAGGCCAAAGGTGAAACACGGAACGAGCGGAGGTGCTCTCGGGACCCAAACTCCCGATGCAGGGTGCCAAGCTGGCCCTGTCCCCTGCCGCGTGCATGGGCCACACAAGGCCTCCCGCCCTCCACCTGTACTTCTTCCCGGAGGCCCTAGAATACGCCGCTCCCCCTGCCGGGCTGGTTCCCTCCGTTCCTCTCCTCTCAGGCCAAACATCCCTTTCCCCAGAACCCCTCTCAAGGCGTGTCCCCCATCGGTCTGTGACATGCCCCCCCTTTCCCCTCACGACCTGTACCCCAGCTTTCTACGCAGACACTCGCCTACGCACACATAGGGGGCCGGGGGGCAGGGGCCCAGAGAAGACCCTGCAAGACAGGACCCAGAGGACGCCTCAGTCCACACCAGAGAGGAGCCAGGCCGACGAGCTCTTTGTTCTTCGGGGGGGGGGGGGCCGGCCAACACCGCAACCCGGGGGGGATCCCGGGAAGCTGCCCAGAGAACACGCTTGGGGAAATGAAAACGCAGGAAATTCCAATTCACAGCCCAGGTAATGGCAGACGCGGCCCAGCGCAGTGAGGCTGAGGCAGGAAAAGAGGAGCGGGGCCGAGGGTGTGAAGACAGAGTGGCAGCTTGGCAGACGACAGTTACAAAAGACGCCACGCAGGCTGACCACGCACTCTGACGTGGAAGCCTCCCAGCAAGTGACAAGATGAAAACAGTCTTCTAGAAAGATCATTCCGGCAGCGGCGTTCCAAGTAAATTGGAGGCGATGAAAGACCGAGGGCAGAAAGGTCGGCAAGGCAGCTACTGCCACAGTCCCCGTGGGAGGGGCGGGGAGAGAAAAGATGATGCCCCGGCAGTATTGCCAGGCTGAGGTGACAGGAGCTGGTGTCCAACTAGAGGCAGCAAAAGCCCCCAATAACGCTTATTGAGCTTCTGCTGCATGCCTGGAGCAGAGACCGGGAGAGCAGCGCAGACCAGGAGGGCCGGCCCCAGTCCCAGGTGGCAGCTGAGGCGCAGCAGGCAGGAAGGGCAGGGCCTGGGCGGACGCGGAGGAGAACGTCAGAGGCGATTAGAAGCCAAGGTTAGGCGCCGGGGGCGGCGGGCGAAGCTACGTGTGCATCCGATCTCTGGGGCCTTTGAACGCGACCCCCTTTGGAAAACAGGGTCTCCGCAGATGGGATTGGGGGTCACGGTAAGGACCGGAAGGCCATCCAAGATTGCCAGGATGACCCTAAGTGAAATCACAAGTCTCCTCACAAGAGAGAGGCGAGGGGGGAGGACGGACTGAGGAGGGGGCAGCACAGGCAGACACAGGCAGAGGCTGGGGATGCGGCCAGCAGCCAAGGGGGGTCGGCACCTCCGGAAGCCGGAAGAGGCAACGAACAGATTCTCCCCTGGAGCCTGGAGAGCGAGCGTGACCCTGACGACACCTGGGTCTGGGACTTCCAGCCTCCGCATCTGTGACAGAATAAACGTGCGCCGTTTTAAGCCCCCTGGCTTGTGGTGCTGTTTCGGCCGCTCCTGGGCACTGCTAGAGCAAGCAAGGGATGGGGACAGGACAGCACGGCCCATGAGCCGAGACTCGAGACAGGGAAACGGGCGGCCCAGGGGAGGGAGGCTGAAGGGCCGGCTGGGGTCGGGCAGGGCTGGGGCCTCTGGCGATGACTCCCGGACACTGGGAGCCCCACGCGTGGGAAAGCAGAGGAGTGGCAAGACCAGACACGGCTTCGGGGAGGGTGACCCGTGAGAAGCCTCAAGCGGCCCTGAAAGCTGCAAGGGCGGGCGAGGGGTCCCGGGGCACAGCTGCTCTGGCTTTGACTGAGGCGTGGTTTCGGGGGGTGGGGCACAGAGAGGAGAGGGGAGGTTTGAGAGACGCTGCCGAAGAGAGCTCAGCTGGTCACTGCGGACGATCCTGGAAATCAACTATGCCTCGGGCTACCGCCGATCACCACATGGAAGACGTGGAAAGAGGGGCAAGACCGAAGGTAAAAAGAACAGGAGTGGGTGCTGGAGTCTGAGGGCCCGACGCGACGCAACAGATGCCCCGGGAGAACCATCAGGGGGCTGTGGGGACGCGCCAGCTCTGGAGGCCTGGGTGAGAGGCAGCCACGTGCCCGCAGAGGCAGAGGGGATCACCCAGGGAATCCGACACGGTGAGAAAACGATACTGTGGAGGGCGGGCCAGGGCCAGGGCCTGGGGAGGACCAGACCGGCAGGCAGGCAAGGGGTTGGGGGGACACCTGGGTCGCCCACAGGAGACACCGCAGTGGTTTCAAGGCTGCGCCTCATCTGCATCCCACAATCAGTAGCTGGGCCCCCTCGGGCAAGCCTCGGCTTCTTGTCCACAGAAGGGCACGATGGCCTCACCCACCTCCCAGGGCAGCCATGGGGGGCACGACCAAGGGCTCAGAACGGTGTGAGGGCGCCAGTGGCCCCCAAATGAATGCCGCTTCACTGGCACTGAAATCATATGGCTAGTCACCAAGACAGAGATAGAGGCAGTAAGGTGACCCTGGTGCACATCTGCTTGACGACGAGCTCCGGGAGGAACGGAGAACGTGGCCCGGTCGGCCCTGTGCCCCATCGCGGGGGAGAGCAACGTTAAGTGGCCAGGGGACATCCGAGAAAGGTTCTTCAAAAACCCGAAAGTAGTTAATGGTGACCAAGGGCGCAAAAAGATCAAGTAAAGGCAAAAAAGAAGTCACTCAAAAGATAAATCGATTGTGGAATAAGTATGAATGCAATAGTTTCAAATAGTTAAGATGAATGACCAAGAGCTCTCTGGACCAGTGTGGCTAGATCTTAAAACGGAGGAATAAAAGCAAGGGGCAGAAGGCAAATACGGTCTGATGCCATTGATGTAAGGTTCTAAAGCACCTGAAACAAGGCACTCTCTTACTCGGGGCCGCTTACACGACCGGTGGGAGTCTAAAACTCTGGATGGGAGGGGCACCCCAGGCTCAGGGTGGTAGTTTCCTACAAGAGGGGAGAGAGGGAGAGGAATGGCATGAGAAGGGGCACAGCACAGTTTTAACCGTATCTGTAACCTGTAAAGAAACCAATTACATAGGTCTAAGGCAAAACTACAAAAGGCTGACATTTGTTGAGTGAGTGTGTAGGTATACGGGTATTTATTACACAGTCCTCTCGTGTCATTAAAATATTCCACGGTATTTTAAAGATCAAAACTATTTTTGAAGAAACAGAAACACTGGGGCGCCTGGGTGGCGCAGTCGGTTAAGCGTCCGACTTCAGCCAGGTCACGATCTCGCGGTCCGGGAGTTCGAGCCCCGCGTCGGGCTCTGGGCTGATGGCTCGGAGCCTGGAGCCTGTTTCCGATTCTGTGTCTCCCTCTCTCTCTGCCCCTCCCCCGTTCATGCTCTGTCTCTCTCTGTCCCCCAAAAAATAACTAAACGTTGAAAAAAAAAAAAAGAAAAAAAAAAAAAAAGAAAAGAAACAGAAACACTGGATTTCACAGTAAGACAGCTGAGTCCCCAGCAGGACACGTCTCCACGGGCTCTCGGGGCATCGGCTGCAGTGGGTTGGGTTGCCGCCTGGCTGGGAGCCCTTGCAGGGAAGAGGCTCCGGAAGGACAGACGCTCCTCTTTCAAGAAGCTCGGCAGTGGTCCGCTCAGGGTCAAGGCCAGGGAACAGGAGGCTGAGGGAGATGTAGGCATGATGATAGATGATACTCAAAAGAGAAAAGCCAGTGCGGGAGACTGGAAAAGTAAGGCAGCTAGGAGACAAGAAGCGGGAACAAAGAGGCAAATTCTGAAGCCATCAAATGTGAAGAGGGGTTGGGACACCCATTCCCCCGGAGACAGAAGGCAAGTAGCTCAGGACAGCTGAAGCAATGTGGCTACACTAGGGAATGGCGTCGGCTGATTCACTTCTACAGCCCTCCACTCCAACTCTACCGGGTCCCAGGCCCTGGGCTCGGTCTCAGAGATGTATCAAATTAAGGCGCGGTTCCTACAGTCAGTGCTCAGAGTCTAAAAGGGTAGAGAAAATACTAGTTACAGGATCCAGAAGAGCCCGGGCAATCCCCAAACATCTACCAGATGAGCCTCAGGAAACCAAGCCCCGCATCCCGGGGTCCTTCTCCAGCTCAGCCGCGCCCCAGCACACACAACCACGTTTCTCTGCACCTCAGCTCCCTCACCTCTAAAACAAAGAGGAACTAATGAGCCCCTACTTTGCAGGGTGGTTAGGAAGGGTAAACAAGATAATCCTCGCTAATCCCGGCGCATGGTGCATCACATGGTGAGAGATCAAGAAACGGAAGCTGTTCACAGTACCAGCGACCACAGTAAGGATACCGACACCCGGCATGATTCTGTGATTTCATACCTCCCACTGAGTCACTGCAAGTGCAACGGCCAGAAAGAGTACCCGATGACGATGACAGACGGAGGAAGGCCTGGGTTGAGCTGCAGACACTCCGGGACCCGGGACAGGACACACCCACCCTTCTCAGATGCAAAAGAATCTGGATCTCGGCCTAATTCAGATCTTACTACCCCCTGGGGGACCGTGAGGCACTCCCACAGGGTGGGAGGGGGGATTTCTGAAAGGGCTGGCCTCAGTCACAGTGAGGCAGAGCTGGACAGGAGGAGGAGAAGAGGGGCCTCTGGAAGGAGCAAGGCTACCAGCCTGGGCAGAGTGAGGGGGAGGCACCAATTGGAGGTGCCATGGCGGGTGGGGGGCTGGAGGCCCATGGAGTCGGCTGTGCCCGAAGGCATTGCAGAGTCTGAAGGAAAACCTTCGGGGAAATCGGACTCTGCTGCCTTTCTATGTTTGAAAGTGATAAGAACGGAGAAGAGGGGGCGCACTCAAGAGTTATATGTTTATCATGAACAGAAAGGACACACGGCAAGGTCCAGCTGGGCGAGGGAGGCAAGAGAAGGGAGGATTTCGATGGCCCCAGGCTGTGGCTCCGGGGGACTGGAAGAAGCAGACGCGGCTTCCACTCATCGCTTCCACTCATCACTCATCGAGGGAGGGGATGAAGACTGAAGGTCTCTATTTCCTCTGTGGAGGCAAAGGCCAGGTCACCTGTTTGGTGCCAGGCAGGGCAAGGTGAAGAGGCTTGATGACAGTGGCAGAGGCCTGAAAGAGCTGCCTTGGGCGACGTGGGAGCAGCTGAGCAGGGACAAGTGAAAGGGTAGGCGGACAGCGCTGCAGTCGGCTGCGATCGAATCCATAAATGTGCGATGGCACCAATCAGTGCACCCCCCGCCCCGCAGACTCAGCCTCCGTGACGCAGGAGGGCTGTGATGGGCAGGCAGGACCAGAGCGGCAGAGGCACTGTCAGAAGGACACAACTGGGGGGGCGGGGGGGGGGAGGGTACCAGTGGAGAGACCAGAAAGGGGGAGATGAGGGAGGGGACAGCCGAGGAGGACCTCAGGGACCCCTGAAGGCTCAGCGCGGTGGCCGAGCAGGGAGGGCAGGCTGCGGTGAGGGGGTGGAAGGCCCTCTTGGGGACTTGAGCTCCGGAGACGCCAAGGCAAAAGGAGTGGCCACCGTGCGAGGGCAGTGGGTCTGGGTGTCGCAGGGCCTGAGCCACTGATACGACTCTTCAGCACACACAGCCGAGAGCCTGGGGTCCAAACCACCGTTCTAGCCTCTCCCCTTCTGGAACCAAACAGATGGCAGTGATCTATGACAAAGGTCAAGGAAATGTCAAGTTCTCTGACCCAGTGCAATCTCGTTTTCAAGAACATACCCAAAGGTAAAAGAACAGATGCTCACTGCATCTACCGTATCAAAAAAGCTGGAAGAAAGCTAAGCTTTCAACCAAAGTAAAAACAGGAAGATTATGAAGATGTACAATGTCCACTACGTGCAGATTCGCTTTCTGGGGCAGGAAATCGGTCCTACTCAGGTCTTTATCCCCAGCACAAAGCACCACGCTTGGCTCACATCGGGCACTCAGACACCGCCGGAATAAATGAGTGGATGGGGAAAACTGCATCACGTTAAGCTCAGACCTATGTGGGGGAAGACGGAAGCACCTAGACAAGAACATGTAAAAGTAATCAAAACACTGACATCAGGAGAGGGGAAGCAGAAGGACTGTCTTCCTTATTGGAACACTACCTTTAACCCTGTCATAGTTAACAGCTCAAGTATTTGCTTTTTAAAAATGCTCAGAGCAAGGGAGAAATAGCAAGCCAAAATGGCAGAACTATCTGCAAACGGGAATAATGAAAACTTGGCATATCATTAAAAATCATACACACATTTAGCCTCTAGGGTGCCTGGGTGGCTCAGTTCATGAAGCATCCAACTCCTGATTTCAGCTCAGGTCATGGCCCGCATCGGGCTCTGCACTGACAGCACGGAGCCTGCTCGGGATTCTGTCTCTCCCTCTCGCTTCTCCCTCCCCTGCTCCCATTCTCTCTCTCAAAATAAATAAATAAACTTAAAAAAAAAAATACAGTTAGCCTTTGTGCAAATCCCAGAGTAACTGACAAATAGAAAGGCTGCGAGGCTCCCTGTGGCAACAATTCTAAGTGACAGGAAAGTAGAAAGAAGCCAAGTGTCTATCAATAAACTACGCTCCATCCTCGCAGTGGAGGAGCTTGCTGCTGGAAAAAGGGATGAGGGAGCTCTGCCTAGACTGCAAAGGAGTGATCTGCAGAATACCCTGGATGGTAGGGAAAGCAAGGGACAGAGCATCAGTCATGGCCCGCCACTTTGCATCTGAGAAAGGAACAAGGAACACAAGGACATACGCGTATCTGCTCAGTTACCCTCTTGTGTGCACTAAAAAAAAAAAAAAATTTTTTTAATGTTTCTTTATTTTTGAGAGACAGAGAGAGAGGGAGGCAGACTGCAAGCCGGGGAGAAGCAGAGAGGGGGAGACACAGAATCCGAAGCAGGCTCCAGGCTCTGAGCTGAGCTGTCGGCAGAGACCCCCGACGCGGGGCTCGAACTCACGGACTGCGAGATCGTGACCTCAGGTGAAGTTGGACGCTTAACTGACTGAGCCACCCAGGGGCCCCTCTGTGTGTATTTTTTAAAGGTAAGAATAAATTAAAACCTAGGGGGCGCCTGGGTGGCTCAGTCTGTTGAGCATCCAACTCTTGATTTTGGCTGAGGTCACGATCTCATGGTTCGTGAGTTCAAGCTCTGCCTTGGGCTCTGTGCTGATAGCACGGAGCCTGCTTGGGATTCTCTTTCTCTGCCCCTCCCCTGCTCATGATCCATCTCTGTCTCTTTTGCTCTGTCTCCAAATAAATAAATAAACTTTTTTTTTAAAGAAAAAAAGAATAAGTCAAAACGTAGAAAAAATCGCTATCTACAGAAGGAGTAGGGAACAGATGGGGGAGGTAGGGATAGAAGTCAGATTTTTCTGAATGTGCTTTGCTTTACAGTTTTGACTTGGAATCATGTACAAACATCTTAAATAATTACTATAAGTCTAAATTAAATCCAAATGTAAAAGCTAAAGCAATTCCTAAAACTAAAAAATATATGAAGATAAATGAGCCTAATGGCAGATCAAGTTGAGAGCTCAGGCACAAAAAGGGTTAATACAAGTAACTTTGAAACACAGTCTCATTAATACTAATGTTAATAGGACTGTGCGACTGTGCATCTCTAGTGGGAGACAGTCCAAAAACAAAAAGAACGGCAAAGAAACCTTAAACTATACTCAGTTATCCCACCAAACTGTTAGTAATCATACTGGCATTTTTATTTTGGATACACACACACACACACACACACACACACACACACACACACACTAATGCCATTAAAAAGCAAGATGTGTACCGTGTAAAAAGACAAAAACAAAACAACAAAAAAGCACGAGAGTTACAAATATAAAATCAAATAAGTAAAAGCCCTATAATCCTCAATTTAACGTGGAAATATCAATACAAACTCATGGTGGGGAATTTTGTAAAGAACAGATAAGGCTGACAAAACCCAAATGCCGTGGCCACACTGCTTTTGTGCTTCCTGATCTGATACAGCAACAGGGCCTAAAAAGGATTCTTATCCAACAACCCAAAACTCTGAGTCTGACCAAGGCTGTAGACTTAAGTAGCAGTTCGTAGGAAGTACTGGGAACAGAGGAACATTTCAAACCACACTATGGGGATGTAATCAGCCAGATCCCAAATGTGGGGAATCCTATAGTCTAATGACTTAGTTTCCTTGGAGCAGAGGAATAAAAGGGAGGATGAATTATGACAAATTAAAAGAAATTGTAAAAGGTACATCAATCAAATGTAATATATGGACCTCATGTGGATTTGATTTAAAGAGACTGCTCGCATAAAACCAGATTTCTGAGAAAAGTGAAAAATCTGAACAATGACTAGAGATTAGTGAAATATCAAAGATCTATTCATAAATTCTATCCATGTGATAATGGGATTGCTATTATGTGTTTTAAAAAGTATCTGTATTTCTCAGAGTAATACTAAAGCATCTACAGTAAAAATGATATGGTATCTGGGAAATGCTTTTATCTGGGTTGGATTATCTTAAGATAAATGAGAAAACACTGGTCAAATGTTAATGACAGTCGAAGCTGGGTAGAGAGTACACGGACATTCATTTTAATATTCTCTCTACTGCTGTGTGTTTGAAAATTTCCATAATAAAAAGTTAAAAAAAAAAAGAAGTATCTCATGATAATAAGAATGAGTGCTATCCGCCTGAACAATTGGAGGAACCGAGCACAAATAGATCTTTTGTTCTTGAATCACTTAACTCCACAAAGCTGTTTTCTGAATTATGGATATCAGCTACAAATATGACTAAGGAGAATTCGCTGCACAGATCTTAAGGTTACAATTTTTCACACCTGGTTGTTCGGATCCGTGAGGTACCTCACTACGATCGGTGTAAGATAGTCCGCGAGCACCCCTGGAAAATTCGATCTGTTTTCTTGTAAAAAGACGGCAATGGGAGGAATCTGTTCCACCAGGTCGGTCCGCACCGTGGGCTCTGCAGCAATAAAAAATCAGAAAAGAATCGTATAAGAATAAGCCAAGCATCTTACAGAGTGTATGGCGATAGTTTCTAGCTTTTCTTACTAAAATACTTCATCAAGGAAATTAGACCAACGCAGTTTAAAAATCATTTCCCGTTTAGAGTATTTACGCTACAGACAGGCTTAAAAAGCTAATAAGCTATCCAGCAATATAAAAACATAAAAGAAAGGGAGAATGACAACTCTATTATAACAAGCCATATATAAATCGAGGAGGGAGCAGGCAGTCTGCAACGCTGGGCCAGCGTCCAAAAGCCATTACAACTAATGGCACATATGCCAGACCTATGGGTTGTGCTTATTTAAATTCCAGCCGGAATGTATACATTATAAATAATTCTTTCATAAGTGCACTCCCCCACAATCCACGCATCCCAATTATTTCTAAGGCAGAGCATTAAACAAAAGAGCGGCTCTAGCTCCAATATACCACATTAAATTTAACACAAATATATAATTGCTTCAGCACTGTAAATGGTGACTCATTTACAAAGAGAACCCATTTAAGGATTCAAAACATCCACTTGGGCCTTTTTAAAAGCATTGTGTCATATTCATCTGAATATTTTAAACTAATACAGGAGCTATATGGAATGTTTATTTTTCTATTTTCAGTGAAAATGATCAAAATCTAAAGCAGTGTAAGATTTCAGAAACTTTCTGAAGCTGTTCACTGATCGTTACAAATGGGGGGTCGGGGGCGCAGGGCAGCTCTCAGTACTGGTAACCCCACCACTCACTCCTGCGTGCATGGGGGAGGAGGGGCGAGGAGGGACATCTCAGTGTCTACCACCCAGCAGCGTGCTTTCCTCCCCGGAGAGCAATCATGGAGAGGTAGAGAGAGAGAGAGAGAGAGAGAGAGAGAGAGAGAGAGAGAGAGAGAGAAATCAAGATCAGCCTACAAAGATTACAGGTGACGGAAACTAATGACTGGGATTGTTCTAATCCAAAAGACTTCTTTTGATGTGGTCTTTCTTAGCAACCAACAGTCGGGCAAAATGCATGAAATACAAAAGGCCTTAACTGCCAGGGCAAATGGCATTCATGGCCATTAGTCATTCTAATTTTCTAAAAATAAGGATAATTTGATGCCAAATAAGACACCCATTGTTGATGACAATATCCATTCATGCTTAGACATTGCTTAAAATTTTCGATCAATACCCAGGTTTTCTTTTTAATTCACTACCGGTGGTTATACGCAATTTCTTGAAAATACACAAGTAAAAAATAAACGTACACAATCCTTATACACACCTGCGTCTTCTGACAATCTGACCACAATCTCCATGACCATTAAGAAGTCCTCCTCATTGTTACTGAAGTCCCGGAGGATGTCATTCAGCCCTCTGGCAATAATCTGACTGTGGAGATGAGAAATGATCTATACAGTTACTTGGGCAACACTGAGTGGCGGTATGCTAATTACAGGCATTGTGTGAAGGGCAGGTAGTAAAACCAAGGAACAAAGCAAAGTCAGTGACCTCTGTCCAGAGGGAGGAGAGACGGTCAAGGAACGTCCAAAGATAGTCATTCCCATGTGGGTCACTGTCCTATAGGAACCAGACCTGTGTCCTCTGGTCTGGTGGTCACTGGAGGTTGAAACTGTCTACTTGGAACTGGAGAAAAACGACTTCCTCCTTTTTGGATTGATTCTTCAGGCCTCGATAGACTCGGAAGAGAGGCTCCATGACAGTAGGCAGGAATTCAGTGACCAATACATGCAGAAGGAAAAGGTCCCAAGAGGCATCCAACGGCCACCTCAATCTCAAATGGCCTCTACCCACTAGGTGTCAGTAGAATCCCCCTGGCTGCCCCCCACCCCATGATGTGACAACTAAACTATGTCTCCGGACATTGCGACAGGTCTATGGGGCCAAAAATCAGCCCTGGTTGAGAATCATCTCATTAGAAGATTAAAGGTATAAGGAACCCTCTGTACTAGCTTTGCAACTCTTCTGTAAATCTAAAACTGCTGAGGGGCACCTGGGGGCCACAGTCAGTTAAGCATCCGACTCTTGATCTCAGCTCAGGTCTTGATCTCAGGGTCGTGAGTTCAAGCCCCACAATAGGCGTGGAGCCTACTTAAAATAAAATTTAAAAATTAAAAAAAATAACTAAAATTAATACTTTTATTAAAAGCCAACACCTTTGCTGGCTTTTTATTAAAAGCCAACACCTTTGCTGGCACAGATATGAGGCAACAGGAACCCACAGATACTGTTGGTAGGAATGCAAAATAGTACAGTAATTTAGAAAACGGTAGGTTCTTAAAAAGCTAAATATGCATTTATCATTCAATCCAGCAATTCATTCTTAGGTATTTGGCCAGATGAAATGAAAACTTATGTCCACATACAGACTTGTACACAAATGTTTATACTGGCGCGATTCACAATAGCCACAAAGTGGACGAATTTCCATGTTCCTCGCCGAGGGAATATACACACAAGGCACCAACTGTCCATACAATGGACACTAAAAAGGAACAGCCTAGTGGTAATAACGGGGATAACTTTCCAACGTATTTTACTAAGGAAAAGAAGCCAGAGAGAAAAGACAACACGACACACGATTCCGTTTATAAGGAATTCTAGAAAAGGCAAAACCTTTGCCTCCAGACACAAATCGCTGGTTGCCTGGTCCGCAGCGGGGAGGAAGCGAGGGACAGGGCAAAACCAAGAACAAGGACACAAGGCAGTGATGGCAATGTTCAAATGTGCCTCTGGTTGAGGGTTGTGTGACCGTTGGCACGTATCCACCTGGGTGCTTTAGGTGGGTGAATTTTATTGCATGACATATATGCCTCAGTAAAGCGGTGTTTTGTTTTGTTTTGTTTCTCAATGTGTATTTATTGTTGAGACACAGGGAGAGACAAGCATGAGCACGAGTGGGGTAGGGGCAGAGAGAGAGAGAGAGATAGAAACTGAAGCAGGCCGCAGGCTCTGAGCTGTCAGCACAGAGACTGACGTGGGGCTTGAATCCACAAACCATGAGATCACGATAGGAGTCGAGGTCGGACGCTTAACCAACTGAGCCACCCAGGCGCCCCAGTAAAGCAGTTTTAAACAAAGACATTAATACAGGGGAAAGTCAGTGTGATCAGCTGTGGCCTGGAGGCCTCTGCCCAAGATGAGGGACAGGCACTCTGGAAAGGCTTCTTGGAGCCAATGGAAAGGAGCCCCTGCCTGCCTCTGCCTGTTCCTCTGAGCCCCTCACAACCCAGGAACAGCACGCATCATTTCTGGCCGTACATCAGAATTAGCTGAAGTTGCAAACCCACTTTGATTTGCAGGAAAAGACTGGAAACGTGGAATTCAAAGAGGTAGTCGTTTGGCCCAGCACACGACAGGAAAAAAACCCATCAACTCAAGCCTGTCCTCGGAGAGACTTATACCACCCCTGGGATGAAAGGTCGAGATCTGGCAGCCAGGAGGTTTGGGAAAGTCGAAAACAGACACTATAAAGTCCCTGATTACATTTCACTGGACCACATTCAGGTTGGCCTCCCCTGGGAAATCAAGCAACTAAGATCCCCAATCTGCTTCCAGGGCCATAGAATGGGTAGACAGACCTGAATCCAGCTTCGAGTGGTCGCAAGGGACCTGCCCTCTTAAGGGAAGTGAGGAGAGGGGCAAGAGGGGGCCCCTGAAGCAGGGAGCGACAGTGTATCCGCTGCAGTGAATACAGAACGGGAAAGCTAGACTCCCACACGCCAGTGCTCTGGCACCAACACTGTGGAAAACTTGGCTGCTTTGGGCTGGAATGACCTGGAGAGGTCATAGTGGATGAGCACAGTCCAGAAACATCAGGCTCAGTCCTTCTCAGTGCCAGCTATGCTAATGAGGAGAAAGGAGAGAGAACAACTGTGCGTGATTCGGAAAGCATTAGAAAGTTCGATGAGCTCAGCCACCGGAAGCTCAGGGCATGGTCCCTGGCCCGTGGTAAGCCCTCAAGCGCATCAGCCATCAGTATCACAACACAAGCAAAGAACTGCAATTAAAATGTCTACCAAAAGAGGGAAGCTTAAATAACTTATGCTAGATCTATCCATGGGCATGCTGTATAAGCAGTTTCAAAGTTACCGATAGATACGCACTGACTTAGAAAGACGCCTGTGAAACCGTAAATGAAAAGATGACGTGAAGAATTTTATATACAGTATGAGCCCATTTCTTAATACAAACTATGTTTACGTATGTATGTGCAATACACGTTACTTGTATATGCCTACACTCATTTAGGGAAAAGTCTGGAAGCATATATTACCTTAGACTGCAGTAGCGGGGGAGGGAGACTTCCTGTTTCAGAGAACTCCCGAAATTGCTAAATGTTTCAAGAATGTGTTATTTTTGTGAATTTTTTGAAATATAAAGTGGATGACTCAATTTTACTCAGCAATGTTCCCTGGAACTCTTAGCAGGGAAGTAACCTCTTGTGTCTTCGTCCCTTCCTTCTCTCACCCACTGGTGCGGTCACTGTCGTGAGTCTGTGAGTTAGCCCAATTACCCAGCCCCAGACGCAGGGCCAAGAGATGCCCGTGTTCCAGGGCCTGCCCTGAGGGGCACAGCTCCCACCGGGATGTAGGCAAGCAAATGAACGAGGATGGACAGTGACAAGACCCTCAAGAGAGGGGAGGAGAACACAGGGGAGTGAGCCAGGGAGCTCAGGGTGAAGATGTGCAGGAGGAAGGCAGGAGGACACAGAGGGGGAGGACATGGGACCCAGACACAGACCGATCACACAAGGACTTTAAAATAAGCATGATTATCATGCGGAAGGGCTGGGGTGCCTGGGGGGGGGGGGGCTCCGTCGGTTAAACGCCAGACTTCGGCTCAGGTCACGATCTCACGGTTCATGGGTTTGAGCCCCACGTCGGGCTCTGTGCTGACGGCTCAGAGCCTGGATGGAGCCTGCTTCGGATTCTGTGTCTCCCTCTCTCTCTGCCCTTCCCCTGCTCATGCTCTGTCTCTTTCTGTCTCTCTCTCTCAAAAATAAGCAAACGTTAAACAAAAATTAAAAAAAAAAAAACAAAACACGCGGAAGGGTTGCTGGAAAGGCTGGAAGTGCTCGGACAGCGAAGGATACAGGAACTCTGCATGCTCTGCTTGATTTTTCTTGAAATCCAAAACTACGCTCAAAATTAAAATTTATTAACTAAATGGAAGCGAAATAAAGACGTTTCAGATAAAAGCTTGTGAGAATTCACGGGCAGCAGTCTTAGACTAACAAGAGTCGAAAAGGAGGTTCTTGCGGCCAAATGAAGCCGAGTGACAATGGGCATTTCACACAAAGAAATGAAAAGCACGAAAACGGCCTAAATGATGGCAAATATCAAAAAAGTACGTTCCTCGTTTTCATTGCTTTAGAAGATGGTTGGATATCTCCAGGAAATAAAGTAGCAAGGTACGGTGGGTGGGATGCATGATGGCATGCACTACAGAAAAACAAGAGCACCAAAGGTGGGAAGAGGCAACGGCAGCCCCCGCGAGCATAGTCTGTACTCTCAGGACGTGCTCACGCAGGACCTGGCACCGTATGCAGAGTGGCATCATTTCATTGGAATACATGTTGTAATAAGTCAGCGAAGTACATTATACTCCCCAGAACAACCAATACAAATTTATTAAAGGAAGCGTAACTAATAAGCCGATAGATAGTGAAGATAAACCGGAATCGTAAAAATGGAAGCAAAAGAAGTCCAAAGAAATGATTCTTCTATTTCAAATATGAAATACAAATTGTTTATGTTCACACACCCCCTCTCTGAAAGCAGCAGCAAAGGAGAAAAACAGGAAGACGAGTGGAGTCGATAGAAAACGAAAAGGGGGCATCTGGGTTAAGCGTCCGACTTTGGCTCAGGTCACGATCTCATGGTTCATGGGTTCGAGCCCCGCGTGGGGCTCTGTGCCGACAGCTCGCGGAGCCGGGAGCCTGCTTCGGAATCTGCGACTCCCCCCCACCCTCACCCCCCTCCCCAGCTCATGCTCTGTCTCTGTCTCTCAAAAAATAAACAAACGTTAAAAAAAAGTTTTTAAAAAGAAAACGAAAAGAAAGATGGTACATTTAAACCAACCAAACCCTATCAATCGTCACTTCAAATGTGTATGACCTAGGGGCGCCTGGGTGGCGCAGTCGGTTAGGCCTCCGACTTCAGCCAGGTCACGATCTCGCGGTCCGTGAGTTCGAGCCCCGCGTCAGGCTCTGGGCTGATGGCTCAGAGCCTGGAGCCTGCTTCCGATTCTGTGTCTCCCTCTCTCTCTGCCCCTCCCCTCCCCTATTCATGCTCTGTCTCTCTCTGTCCCAAAATAAATAAAAAACGTTGAAAAAAAAATTAAAAAAAAAAATGTGTATGACCTAAACA